GAAAGAATGAAGAAAAGGGGGAAAAAATAAAAGAGAAAAAAAAGGGAAAAAAAACAAATTTTTTTTTTCTTCTGTTTTTTTTTTTGTTTTTTCCATCTCAAATGTCATTGTTCAAACAATTGTTACTATCAAAGAGATACAATTTATATGTTAATAACATATAGTAAAATTTCGATGTGGGACAAAAACAAAAAATACTTTTTAGTGCGGCATGGTACTCGAGAATATATACAATTGTTAGGATTGAAATTAGATATGGGCAAAAGCTTATGACTACACAGAAAAGAAAAAAAAATAGAGAGATAATAAAAAGGAGAAAAAATGAAAAACAATGAAAAATAAAAAAATGAGAAAAAAGAAAGAATAAGAAGAAAGAAAGGAAAAAAAAGCGTAAAAAAGGGATTTTTTTTTCTTCTCGTTTTTTTTTTTTTTCCCCCTTGTATGTCATTGTTGGGATAATTGTTACTATCGAAGAGATGCAATTTATATGTTAGAAACATAAAGTAAAATTTTGATATCGGACAAAAGAAACTCTCCCTCTTTAAAAAACACTAATTGGTCAATATAAGTTAGAAACATAGGGAAATATCTTTGGAATACATGTGCCTTCCAAAAAAGAACTCCGGCCACAGTGCCTTTCGAAAATTCTGGCCCCAATGCCTTTAAAAAAGAAAAAGACCATCAGAGCTTTACTGAAAACCTGGTGTCTTTAAAGTAACAGCTGACACCTTGATCACGACGAAAGGGGGAATCACCCTCCTTGACATGTACTTCAATGGTGGGTTGCCCATGCTGGGGCCATGTATGAGGAGTTCATCCCCAGTAATGAGGTAATTTTTGGAACTCAACCCATCAATGGTGAACCACCCCCTCTAGGTCTTCGTGAGTTGTTTGAAATTTATCAACTCCTACTTTCAGAGACCAATACCAAATCCAAGATAGTTCATTTCAATGCATGGGGGGCTTTCTTTCATGGGAACCGTCAGGACAAAGCGGTACCCAATTCCAGTGCTGCTTGGGATGATGACGAGCAAGAGATGGAAAAAGAGACCAAGGATGTTGTGAGCCCTCCCAGAAGACCTGACAAGGACCATGTATACTTGGCTGCTTACCTTACTCTCCTGTTGTACAAATTGCACTCCCAGGATCAAGTGGAAATGCTATCCACCCTGGTTGCTTCTTTGTGTCCTGTAGGCTTGCTCAAGGGCATTAGTATACCCTAGCCCAACCAGTTCTCTATAGCATATGCCACGGTTTAGGGGCAATTTCATGTGGTAAAGCAACATCCAAAGATAACAAGAGCGAGTCTTTTGATGGCAAAGCCCTTCTTGGCCGTTTCAAAACGGGTTTCCCTGTCCACTATATCTTTGGTTGGCTCTCAGCATACTTTCCTAAGAAGGAGTCTGGTCCTTATACCCCTGGAGCATATGAGATTAATGAAGACTTTTCGAGGTATGCTTGCCCCCAATGCTGAGGATTGCTGGGATGAAGGCCATATTAAAAGGACCAGATGAGGCACGTTGATTCCTGGCTGATAGCTCTTTCTTCTCTTGTGGAAGCCCCTTTCCTGTAGGCAGCCCCACTGACCGTGTCTACACATATACTTTTGGTGAGGTCTTTGATGGGAATTCCACTAAGACCTGAGAAGCCGTGTATCTCCTAAGTGTTAGGGGATGCATCTTGCCTTATAGGGGTGTTGGAGATAATAATCTTGAAGGCTACTTTCCCCACAGGTTCGCACACTGGCATAGCATAGACCAAGGGTGCTCCTTCTTAGTGTTTTTACTGGCTTGAGCAAGTTTGTCATCCCCCATTATGGTTGTATCGGCCATGTCACTGAGGGTTATTGGCGGTGGTAGAACATCACAACCGTTCTTACTGGAAGGCAACCATACATGGAAGGCCATCAATAGTATCAGCATGATACAAGGCACATGAAGCATTTCACACCTCCAATCTTCTTCAAAGTTTGCGAACTCGATTTCCCCTTAAACTGGAAGGGGCTTGGTATACCTTGATCTCTAGCCATGGACCATACTGGCATCCAATATCTCTCTCTTGAAGGTCAAACTAGGTCTTTATTTGATGACCTTTGTTCTATCTTCAAGTGGACCTAGGGTCATGCTGTCCCTGGTTATGAAGATCATCCTATTCAATACCTTAATGCTTTAATAGGGAATGGGTCACATTCTGCTCCAACTGCCAAATCTAGTGCTCCTTCAAAGTCAGGAGATGAGGCAACCCTAGAGAAGAGAGTAAACAATAAAGGGACAAAGAAGAAGGACATAAAGAGCCCCGAACCCAGTAAAAGCAAAATCAGTTTTACATCCCATAAAAGTTTTTATCATAAATTCATCTCAATTACAAAAATAAAAATTATGAGCTTCAATTAAGACGACTCCTATAATCAGCCACATCCGCATCACAAGGTCATTTCTGAACTCAGACCACTCATCTCTCTCCCTTTGACTCCTCCCAAATACTTCCGACTTTGGAACTTCTACTAACGGTGGCTGGTTTTGATCAGTTATTATATCTTCACAATCAAGAAGGTCACTGTCTTCACTTATAATGAAATTGTGTAAAATACAGCATGCAACAACTATCTTGACTTGTGTTTTGATTAGATAGGTAGTAGCCACTTTCAAGATATAGAAACATGCATTCAAAACTGTAAAAGCACGTTCAATGACATTTCTGAGCGAGGAATGTCGTTTATTAAACAACTCCTTGTAGTTCTGTGGTCTTTCTCTACCACAACCATAGTCATTCAAATGGTAACGAGTACTACGATAAGGGACGAGAAATCCTTGGATATTATGGTACCCGGTATTGATAAGGTAGTATTTTCTTACAAAATGAATATTTGATTGAGATTAAAATCAATTGGTAATACATTGTCCCACATTACCCAACATATTGCCATACAAGTCTTTGGAGTCGATTTGTATGTTAGACGTCAAATGGCTAAAGGTTTAAGGTTTTGAAGGAGTTAGAGTAAAGGGTTTTTGTTTTTTAGGTTGAATGTGGTGTTAAGGGAATTGGAATGAGAAAGTTTGTGATTTCCATGGTGTTTGTGATTTCTATGTTTGTTTAAGTATGAATATAAGGAAATGCCATGAAAATTTTTAGTTTTTTGAATGTGTTCTCACTCTTGAGCTGATGACTGTTTTGGGAGGTTAAGAAATTTTTTTTTTTTATAAGTCTTATTGGACGTTAGGAAACGTAAATGAGGATCTTCAAATTTTTTATTTGGGTTTTTACGCTTTTGGTTATTTCTGTTGTGATCAATACTACCTTTTGGACATCTTGTATGGTTTTGCATAAACATCACAGAATGGAGTGGGATAAACATCACAGTATGGAGTGGGATAGGTATTGGGGAAGAATACTTTGAATTCGTCGTCAAGTAAGTAATTTTTGGTTCCAAAGGAATTGGAACTAAGAATTGTTATGTTTTCTATTTTTTTGTTTTTGGTGCCTTCTTAAGATTGCTAGAACTTGCTTATAATTATTCTTTTCTGTGACTTCTAAAAGTGCACTTGCTTATAATTATTCTTTTCTGTGACTTCTGAAAGTGCACTTGCTTATAATTATTCTTTTCTGTGCCTTCTAAAAGTGCACTTGCTTATAATTATTCTTTTCTGTGACTTTTAAAAGTGGTGGTTGTGGAAATAGCACAAATGTTAGAGTTGAATGTTAGGGAAACGATACTTAAAGGTTTCCATTCATCCATTAACCATATTTTTATTTAATAAGTCTTATAGGTATTTAGGAAATGGAAATGAGGATCTTTAATTTCTTTTTTTTTCTCTTTTGGTTATTTCTGTTGTTGATCAATACTACATTTTGGGACTTCCGGCAACCATCACAGTATGGAGTGGGTGAACATCACAGAGTGGGATAGGCATTGGGGAAGGCATTAGGGAAGGTTACTTTGGAATCGAACTATCAAATGGGTAATTTTTGGTTCTAAAGGAATTGGAACTGAGCATAGTTATGTTTTCTATTTGTATGTTTTTTTTTTTGTGCCTTCTTAAGATTGCTAGGACTTGCTTATATTACTCTTTTATGTGACTTCTAAACTTGCTTATATTACTCTTTTCTGTGACCACTAAAAGTGGTGGTTGGGGAAATCTTGAATGTTTGGGAAAAGATATTTAAAGGTTTCCATTCATCCATTGTCCATCTTATTGATAGTTTGTCTCACTCACATTGACACACTCCTGGAGAATGCTACAATATGAATATAAATCATGCAGTTCATGCGTAGAACGGCTGTAGGCTGTGGTCAAGCACATAGTGTCCAACACTATCCCTTGTTAGAGGAAACCTAAGTTATGTGCAAATATTTAATGTCTAACTTTGCAACATAATGACAATATATTGTGCACTGTTCACCAAAAACTCGTTGCTGAGAAAGCAATCTTTGCATGTAACAATTGTTTTACGAAGAGCTAATGCCTGTCTCTAAACATAACCTTTGTGCTATTTTTATCTTGTGAATTGTTTATAATACAACTGCAGTAGCCAGTACATGGAGCTATCTCTGTATTTGAATGCTGATCATCCTCAATACATTTATTTCGAGCATGGTATTATAGCCTGGACTAGCTATTGATTGGTGTATTTGACTATCACAAGCTATTGTTCTCGCTATTTGACGGTGAGTCTCTCTCTCTCTCTCTCTAGTGACACGATTCTTTCTCGTTCTCTTCTCTGTAAGAGAATTGTGGCGTGTGAGAGAGAACAGGGGCTTCTCTGTCATCAGTTTGAGACCTGAGATTACATGAAAAAGAGGACCTAAATAAATTTCTTGTCTTTGGAGGATAATGGTATTTGATCGTTCTTAAACACCGTCCTCCTCTTGTTTTTGAGGATCCCTCTGTTAGAAAAGAAGTTAGTAGTAGTAGCAGTAGGGTGATAAGGGAGGGGGAAAATAAGGCATGGAGAAACACCAGCATCGACAGGAGGTTAGAGAGAGAAGAATCGCCAATGCCGATGTGGGATGCAATTCTCATTTTTGGATTGATATATTCTCTCATTTGAAGTAGACGAGAAAAATTGAGAAGGAAACAGTCTTATTCTCAAGTAGATAGGAAAAGTTGGGAAAGGATGTAACACATGGTGGATTGGGGGGTTTTTAATAGTATTTCTCCTACAAAAAGAAAGCGGGAGAGATAATGGACTACAATTATAATTAAAGGGGGAGAGATAATGGACTACAATTATAATTTTTTTCTCTTAGGGCCTGTTTGGAAGGGAGAAAATTAAGGATTTTAGATATTTGAAATCCAAAAAAATATATAGATTTTCAATATCTAAGATTTTTGTCATGGATTCCTCAAATCTCTTGTTTGGATAAACTATACAAAATTTCTCCTTCTAAAATTTTAAGATACTCTCTCTCTCTCAAACTTAAAACTTGAGATAGTTTCCCTCATCAATAATTTTAATATAGTTTCTCTCTCTAAACATTTTTAAGTAGTTTCACTATCTAAAATATGGTATAGTTGCTCTCTCAAATTTCAAGATTCGTTCTCTTTCTAAAAAGCTAAAATTTGAGATAATTTCTCTTTAAAAATTTTGTGATGGTTTTTTTTTCTAAAATTTTTTATGTACCTTTTATCTCTAAAATTTGATATATCTCTTAAATTTTAAGATGCTTTCTCTCTCTAAAACTTCAAGTTTGAGATAGTTTCTCTATCTAAAATTTTGAAATAGTTTTTCCCTTTAAAAGTTGATATAGTCTCTCTAAAATTTGATATACTTTCTCTTTCTAAAGTTTAAAATTTGAGATACTTTCTCTCTCTAAAACTTAAATTTTGAAATAGTTTCTCTCTTTAAAAATTTCATTTACTTTCTCTATCTAAAATTTGATAAAGTTTATCTCTCCAAAATTTTAATATACTTTCTCTCTAAAAAATAAATTTTGGGATACTTTCTATCTCCAAAAATTTTGAGATAGTTTCTATCTCTAAATTTTTTAGGTAGTTTCTCTCTCGAAAATTTGATATAGTTTTTATCTTTAAAATTTTAATATATTTTCTCTCTCTAAAATTCCAAATTCGAGATAGTTTCTCTCTAAAAAGCATATATTTCTCTCTCTAAATTTTCTTGAATTTATAATAAATTCTCTCTAAAAGTTTAAAAATAGTTTCTCTCTCTACAATTTTAAGAATATTTTCTCTCTAAAACATAAGATCGATTATAGTTTCTCTCTCTAAAATTAAAATATGAGATTTGTTTCTCACTCTAAAAGTTTTGAAATAGTTTCTCTCTCTAAAAAATTGAGAGTTTAATTTGCAATTACTTTCTCTTTATAAAATATGATCGTTTCTCTCTAAAACTTAAATTTGAGATGGTTTCTCTCTCTAAAATTTTGAGATAGTTTATCTCTCTAAAATTTCTCTATCTAAAATTTTAACATACTTTTCTCTCTAAAATTTTAACATACTTTTTCTCTCTAAAATTTTAACATACTTTCTCTCAAAAAGTTAAAATTTGAGATAGTTTCTCTTTCTAAAATTTTCTCTCTAAAAAAATTTGGTACTCTCTCTCTAAAATTTTAACATACTTTCTCTCTCTAAAATTTTAACAGACATTGTCTCTATAAAAGTTAAAATTTGAGATAGTTTCTTTCTCTAAAATTTTAAGATAGTTCATATCTCTAAATTAATGGTAATTTCTCTCTCTAAAATTTTAACATACTTTCTCTCTCTAAAATTTTAATATACTTTCTCTCTCTAAAAGTTAAAATTTTAATATACTTTCTCTCTCTAAAAGTTAATTTGAGGTAGTTTTTTTCTCTAAAAATTTTGAGATAGTTTCTCTTTACAAAATTTAAGTATATTCTCTCTCTAAAATTTTCTTACCTACCAAATGCTCCTTATGTTCGGGTCGAGGGAGGGTGTGAAATCCATAGGCCTTGGAAATGCAAAAAAACATGTTTTTGACTGGAAATGAAATCATGGAAAAGTAGGTTTTATTTCCATAATTTTGATTTTTTTGATTTTAAGTATCCTAGTCATTAAGCAATCCAACGGGTGGATTTGGCAATATCCAAGATATTAAGGATCCATGCCTTAAAATCCATGTACCCAGCAAGCCCTTAGAGTTTGTTAGTTGCCATGCCCTTGTGTCTGTAGATTACTGTTCAAATTCCCATTTGTGAACAGGTGGGCTCTTCCTGATCCTGCCGTGGAGCATTACCTCATCTTCATTGACTTCTTGAATGTGGATTAGGCCCAGTTAATTTGTAAACATGCATCTAGACAATCCAGAATTTTGGGTTTTGGTGGCAGAGTGGTGGAATCTTAATGTAGTAGATGATGCGGTGGGGGAAAACTATTAGTGTTAAATGGTAACCTTAAGGAGGTGGAATCAACCTTTTGGTAAAAGTATATGGAAGGTGAAGTTCCCAGGAAATGTGATATACACTTTTTTCAATATTACTTCTCATGTCCGACTCCCAAAATGACCTACCCAAAAGAAAAGAGAATTACATAGGGACTTCTTGTATCAAGACAATGATGAAGCGTACAAGTATGATTTGTCAAACGGGAGGAGAGTTGTTAGCCCATGAATAATGAGGCTTAGGATATGACATTCTAAGGTACGTGGTGCTAGTATGTTTTGGGTTGTGTTAGGTAGGCAGCTAACGTAAAACTTTATAAAAACTTTTCATGAATCTTGAACGCGCATAATGACGGATCAAAATTCACGTTGCCGATATCAAATAGTTGGAAAAAAAGCTCTGATGATGATTTGATTATCACAAATCAAACATCGACAATCATGGGAGAGAATCTCCATCCAGCTCTAGAGCAATTTATTTTTAAGAAATAAATTATGCAGCCGTAGCTATAATAACAGAGTTCAGTGCTTTGTTTCAGCGCATGTTTTAGATACCAATCCTTGCTTTTGGTTAGACAAATTTATAGGGACTAAGAAATGCAAGAAAGTCAGTAATATCTTTAGGAACAGTGAAGTCAGTGAAGAAAATTATGGAGTTCCAGATATATGAAGTGTAAGGAAAACAACTTCTTGTTGATTTCTGTTAATGTCCTTGAGGATTTTTCTAGCCCTGACATATTCAGTATTGCATAATTTCTTTTGATTGTGAAGTATTATTGCATAGTTACTTTGGGTAAGATATATTTTTGTTTGTTATAACCTGCCTTCCTGAGACGTAGTTCAATTTGCTCATATCTTTATGTCCAATCAACTTCCTGGTTCACATTGAAGGTTCCCAATCCGAGCTACATTACTTTTAGAGACAGTAATGTCCTCAGCACAAGGAAGAAGATGAGACATTCAAAACAGCATAGCGAAAAAAAATAAAAAATAGAAACGAAAAATAGCTGAAAAGAAAGGAAAATCCTTTGTGCTTCTTTAAAATCAGATCATTCTATGGATGTGTGAAATCTTGCATAGCCAACCCTTGGGGCTTGCTATTCATCAAGAAAAAACCCTTTGAGCATGCTTAATATTTCAAAACATGTAGTACCTGCTTCAGTTTGCAAAGATGTTTAGTATAGTGCGATCTCTGATTGTTTGCAAGCATATAGATTTCTATTTTCTTTTCTTATTAAATGAATGCGGTTATAACCCAACTGCTAGGTGTTATTTTGTCAAAGGTGATGCCATTGTTTTATAAATACATTCTTAGAATGAAAATTCAATAGAATCTTGTCCCACTAACAAAGAAGTATAAAGCACAGTGTAGTATGTGGATTGTTTTAGATGCTTCACAATTGATACTCAAAGAGCTGGAAAATACTTTGTCTCGGTTTGGAAAGGTTGTAGTTTGACTAGCTTCATTTGAATTGGGGTTTGTTTTTGCGTGGTGAATTTTCTAGTGATATTTACTATCCTCAAAAAATATTATCATCGAGACTTAGAAGATAGGTTTTGTTTTGGTAATTTGGTTTGATCGACAGAGCAGCAAAACCAGGTTTGATTTGTTTTCCTAAATAAACAGAGCAGCAAACCCAGGTTTGATTTGTTTTCTTTTTCACCTCTTGGGGAATTGTTTCTTAGGGATAGTGCATATCTTTAACAACCAAATTTTACCAGTTTCCATTTAATATCTGAAGGGACTAACTTTGGTATGGTATACAGATTCATTTTATTTTTTTTCAAGTCTTACTGAAATATAGGTTAATGTGATGTTGCATGGATGATACATGAGTTGGCTTTCGGTGATCCACTGGTTTGGTTGGAATCTATCTTATGATACATTTTCTAGTGTCTTGCAAGAAGCAGTGAGATTATGGTTAGCAGAATCCAGGTTTTGAAGTCCATGTTACTTCTATAGTATAAGGTCGATGCCTTAGATATGTATCCAAGGAGATCAGTGACACATTGTCTACTACCCAAGTACTTTGGGAAATTTTGGTACTACTTGGGTGTATTTAAGGGCATGCATGTAACGCATATACTTATAGAGCAGGTTCTATGATCCATATATTGTCAGATTCTGGTTTGCCCCACCACTATTAGTCACTGTCCATGGATTTGAGGATGATGACCACAGACTTTCTATAGTTATGTGAACCATTAGCATCCTTCCCCTTGAAATAATATTTTCTGCGATATAGAATCAAGGGAATTTTATCAAAACAAACCTCAGATGTACCATTGTATTCATAAGTCAGAACTTGTGGGAGAGACTTTTCTGTTTCACCTTTCCATCAAAAGGTGTTTCAGTCAAAACCAGTTTCCTCAAGCTCTCCCAAACCCTCCTATGTCTCCCTCCTCTTTTCCTTCCTTGCGAAGGCCTATCTCCTTCAAACCTGTCTCCTCTCTCTCTAAACGGAGCACTCTGTCTTCTCTTGCTAGATCCGACTCTTCATCACCCACTTCTCAACACCTCCCTTCATCCTTGCAGTTAACACCACCCTTTTCTCTCTCTCCCCTCCATCTCCATCCTCTCTCTAGGCTTTCCAGACTTATCTTCCCTCAAACTGATTTCTCTCAATTCTTGGTTGCAACTGTTATCCTCTATTCCACAATCTGCACAAACACTCTGTTGGTTTGCAACTTCGCCATGGTAGTGATGTTGGGTTCATGTGGCCTTTAAAGGCCTTATGAGTGCTTGTAAAATGAAATGATATAAGGGAACATGAACTCAGTAGGAGTGTGGTCTCTCGTGGACCATACTAAGCAAACGATATTTGCAGATACCGAATTGTGCTTGAAGATCTAGGCCAATCGGTTGGAAAAAACCCATGTTACCTAGGCGTAAATAAAAAACCGAAAAGGGTTCTAATGGGTTAGCCCTTGATGAGGTCGGAAAACATACCAGGATGAGTGAGCCGAGGGATTGTGTGACCCTTTTGTGTGATGATGGCCTACAGAAATAGGGGTCAAAACCTCATCCATGTACCATCACACGGCATGCATATCGATAGATCGTTTGGGAAAGCTAGAAATCCACCTTTTAGGGTTAAGCGTATGCATGTGTGAGAGATACCCCTATGCACCATAAGAGCTATGATCGCATCAGGTCTAAGTGACATTGACTCATCTTTAGGGGAGGACTTGAAATCCACAGACTGGGATTGCGATCCCTTGGCTTATCAACCGGACTTTAGTGACCTGCTAATGAGCCCCTGCTTGACCTGTGGGTCATGAGAAACACTGAGTAGGTCTGATAAAGCAAGTGTGGTCTGTAGTCCACAGTTGAAGGTGGAATGTCCCATGATTATTGATTCCTAAACCATATGGATCCTTTTCCAATCAAATTAATTTAATTGTGTTTATTTTATAATGAAAATTATTTTAAGATTATTATTTGAATTTTTATGAACCCATGGATATTTTATTTATAATTTTTGGATTTATAAAATTCAAGATATTGATTTTACAATTGTTTAAATATTCAAATAATATTCTATACTTCTTTTTATTAATTTATATATATATATATATATATCATGGGGGCCTATTGTGCACATGGGACCGCCATATTTTTAGAAGGTGGGGCCCCATGAGTGCCTCCCTTGGGTGGCACACCCCACCCTTATTCTCTTTCCTATTTTTTGGTGATATGGCATGTGACCATATGGTTGGAAGATATTGACTAACTATTGACTTGCTATATTTTTAAAAGATTTTGTGGAAAGATTGAGTAGGCTTATGCTATTTTAAAGTCTGCACAATATTTTGATTTGATTTAATTTATTTAATTTTTATTGATTAGAAAATGGTTTAGGAAAGGGGGATAATGGCTCATGCACCTTCTATAATGTTGATGACCCATTTATAGAATGGATGACTCAAGATCTCTCACCCCACAAGTCACCCTTGATCGACAGTCTATGTTCAATCCTACAAGAAGAGGCAAGCCAAAGAAAACCCTAAGAAACCCTAATCTTAATTAAAGCCTATAAAAAATGATTGTCTACCAAAAAATCTCTACACGTTATCTTTTTATTTCTGTCTCTTAAGAAAGTTTCTCACTCTCATGTTTGATCTCTCTCTCGCACATTGTGAAAGAACCTAAGGGTTTAAGTTATGAAGTTTTTCTCTCTCATATCTCTCAAATATAGATTTATGGCTAAGGGTTTTAGTGTTTAGCAAAAAAAGAATCCATCTCTCTCAAACTAGGTTGCTAAGAGAATTCACTTAGGGTTTGAGTTTGTGATCAAAGTTATTCATGTTCCATTAGTGTGGCTTGGCCGAAATTTGCATTCCCGGTTCGAGATTGAAGCTAGACCGTTGATCTCACGCCATCGGATGATGGTGACTTGGTGTGGGGTGTAATAAGCTCGGTTGAGGTAATCTTCGTCACTCTTCCTTTTGTTTCTTGCAATCTTATCTTTTATTCTCAAGCATAGTGCATAGTTGTTTCAATGACATCAAGTTGTTAAGATCTTAGTTTTATTGTTATGTTGATTTTATTTTGAAATTTATCTTATTATAATAAGACCACATGTAAACGATCTTTCGCAAAAAGAAAAGGGTGAAAAAAAAAAAAAAAGTATTTCCCAGTAAATGATCACATAAGTCTTTCTTTCATTGGTATCAGAGCTATTGATACTTGTTGTCATTAGTTATCTTTTCTCTTTATTAAGTTTAGATCAAGCTTGAGAATGAGATAAAAGAAAGCTTATGACCTTGTGGTAAAGAAATACACACATAGTTAAGAACTATTTAAATAGTCAAACACTGAAAAAGCACTTTGCATAATGAGTATTCTAGGCTATTTTGGAGTAGAGATATGAAGAATATAATGAGGTATTTTTTTATTACATACTTCAGTGATATTTTGTGTATTTAAGTGTAGGATTTACCTGCAAAATTTCAGTAGGAGATCCTATAGGAATTGAGATTTATGGACTCAACAATGAAGGGTCCCAGTTCTGACTATGCAAAATTTAGGAACTATCAATTGAGTTCCGTGATTTTTCTCACCAATATTATGATTTTATTTATAACTGAAAAAATTGAATTGTAACTTATAAAATTGAGTCTACTAACAAAAAAAGAGTTTCATCAAGAAATTCCTTGTGGTTTGAAAGATATGATCAATTTATTGAAAGGTGAAAATTATTTTCATGACTTGGAAGTTAAGATTTAATTTCTATTCTTAACAGATTATTTTATGATCCACACTAAATTTTTAGACTTCCATTATGAGTCTATTTTCTAACAAAATTTATTTAAAAGAGAAATATCTATAAGAAGAGAGGAATAAAAATTTTGGATTGAAGAGAGGTTATTCTGAATTTTCTGTAATTTGGTATGTCTTTCATTGAAGACATGAATAATTATATTTATCAAGCCTATTAAACAGAGTGATATAAGGCTTGTGAAAATAGAGGTGTTACTATTATGTGTCTCATTTCAAACAAAATTTGCTTGAAAGAGAAGCTCCATGATGGTAGAGAGAAAAAATAATTTTACTGCAAAGTGTTCATCCTGGAATTATGCAGTATGATTTATTCTGTGATGTAAATGTCACTTATTTATTTCTCTGAAAAAATTTATTATTTGGTATTCAAACTACAATAATATGATTTGGTTTTGAGACTAGTTTTCAATACAAAAGATTTCATGAAGAAATTATGAGGATTGAGGGAAACAAATTTTTTATTAAGAGGTGCTCAACCAGATTTTCAACTAAAAAAATTGCATTGTGACTTAAATGTCACTAAAATGAATATTCACTAAATGGTATGATTTAGGGATGGAACTGAGCACTATTTTATATTTTTTTTTAGTCTATTTCAATACTAAAAAAGATTCGAAGATTAACTCTTTATGAGTTGAGAGATATCATATTTTTATCATGGGATGCTCAAGTTCTATTCTGCAGTAAATTAAAAGGATGTGGCATGTTAAGACACATCTTTGGATTCCTAATTATGAAAACCTTTTTTTAGGGCTCAGTTAAATAAGGTTTATAGTGTGCTATGAGTATCGTTTATTATAATAAAACTTTAGAGAGATGTAATACAGAGTTGACAAGATATGACACTCTATGTGAAGAGTATTCGATTTGGGAATAACAGAAAGAAGAAGAAACACAATACCTATAAAAACATATTGGTTTCTTCGAAATGAAGGGATATATAGAGAGACTTGGTGGTAGCATAGAAACGCTAAAGATCAGTGGGACAGTCGAAATTGTGATATTTAAAATAATGGGATGAAGAAGATATTTTTTTCACTCTGTAAGACAAGAGAATCTAAGTGCCCATGTGAAACCAATGACCAATATATTCTCCAGAAGTTGCGTGCACTTCCAAAATCACAAAAGCTTGTCAAACAAGTAAAAACGATGAATCAAGAAAGCCCAAGTACCACACTACATGGTTTTGAGGTATGAAATCTATCCCACATTATAGGGAAAGGTCATATAGAGAAAGATAATTCAATAACTTTGTTTAATGTGCTTTGATTATCTTTTGGCTAATTGTTTTATGAATATGTATGGAGTGTATAGAAATTAAGTGATAAGTGCTAACAAATTTGAAAGTGCCGGTTTTGAATACCTTGTATTTTTGTGCCTCCTTGTGCTTGAGTATGAACTATTGAAGGTAGTAATACACAGGGAGATGTGATTTGATCAAGGGCTTTGAGCCCTAAGGATGAAATATGAGAGATGGGTGTGTCTCATTCAAATATGTAAGCACAAAGGGACAGTTCCGATGGAACTTGGTCTTGGTGACCATCTTCTCAATAATGTCTATAATATGATGTGTTGCATGTGATGATGATCTCTTGATAAATTCTCCATAATTATAAAAAAGGAAGCATTTTGTCAAGGCTTTAATAGATATTATTTAGTTGTGCTTTATTTTGGATAAAACTATAAGATGGTATGTATGATTTGTTTTTATAACCATGAACTTGACTTGGTGGGAAATTAAAGGTGAATGCGAAAAAATGATTTATGAAGGCTAAGCATGTATTTTATAATTAATGATTTGAGAAAAACCTAAGTCTATGAATATGGTTTTGAGAAAACCACAGTCTTGTAAGGTCCATTAAGTTTTTATGAAAATCATTTTAAACTGTCATACTATTATATAACTATTGCTTGTGGATGCATATATATATATATATATATATATACCAAGTCAATTTTTTTTATTAAAAAGAAAAACATTGTGCTTGAAGGTATTTATAAAAGTGGGAAAAATCTATCTTGCATATTTCTTAAATGCCTATATGCCTTGACCCATGTTTCTAGTTATTTAGAATCCTCGATTACCTAAGACTTTGAACCATAAGGAATGTTGTAGAAATGCCTTCATGCTGGGCTTCCCTGACACATATTGTATTGATTAGATAACTTGGTTTATATGAATTTACTACCAAGATGTCTAGTGTGCTTTAACCTTTGTGGTTCATGAAGGTTTTTGCATATCGTGAAACCAGCGGGTATTGAATTACATATTGCATGAGACTTGATACGCTACCTCATGATATATGCATAAGAATGTTGAGAATGTATATGTTGTATGTGCAATGATTGAGTGGGAGCTGCTACAGTCCCACATTTTTTAGCTGCTTGGATATTCAGATATATATAGGTGCAAGCTATCTCAGAAATCTAGATGATGCAAAGTCTACATTTGGATATGTGTTCATGCTTGGAGGGGATGCAGTTTCTTGGAAATCAAAGAAATAGGATGTGACGAAATTGTCCACCATGAAGTCAGAGTACGTAGCATGCTGTTTGGTAATCGGGGAGACCATATGGATTAAGAAACTTCTTAATTGACTTGACTTTCACCTCGTGCGTATTGAGGCAGTAAGAATTTTATGCGACAACAAGGTGACGATATGTGTGTCAAATGAGCCACGATTCCATAAGAACTCCAAGCATATAAAACCATATTTTTATCACCTGAAGAATGAGGAGAGATTGAAAAAGATCTAGATCCAGATAAACTAAATATTCCAGTGGGAGCACCTGCTTGTATTTGACATGCTAAATGGAACAACAGACTATAATGTTGTTCTCCCATGGAACCCAAATGTTTGGTGCTAGTTGTATGGCTATAAAAATGAGCAGCTTATTTGAAGAACTCTTTTGAGCCCATGAACATACAACCCCATGCGATGAGGGTACGTAATCATCTTTTACAACAACAGGTCCATGATTCGCGATGTGATGTGAAAGATGATCTACAACCATATTTGGGATGAGATCCGAGCAACAAAGAGAGAAATGTATTGCCTCTATAAATCCTTTTGTAAAAGGATTGATGACAAAAACCATGATTAATGTATTAAGAGAATAAAAAAAGATGCTTGAGAGAGATTGTAATTGAGAGAGAGAGATGCGAAAGAGGGAAAGTGAGAATGTAAGGCCTTCAAAGGCCAAGTGGGAGATGTTGGGTTCATGTGGCCTTTAAGGACCTTATGAGTGCTTGTAAAATGAAATGATATAGTGGAACATGAACTCAGTGGGAGTGTGGTCCCTCGTGGGCCATACTAAGCAAACGATGTTTGTAATTACCAGACTGTGCTTGACGATCTAGGCCAATCGGTTGAGAAAAACCCACGTTAGTTAGGCATAAAGAACAAATCGAGAAGGGTTCTAATAGGTTAGCCCTTGATGAGGTCAGAGAATATGCTCGGATGAGTGAGCCGAGGGACTGTGTGACCCTTGTGTGTGATGGTGGCCTACAGAGACAGGGGCCAAAACCTCATCCATGTACCATCACACGGCATGCATATCGATAGATCATTCAGGAAAGCCATAAATCCACCTTTTAAGGTGAAGCGTATGTATGTGCGAGAGATACCCCTATGCACCATAGGAGCTATGGTCGCATCAGGTCTAAGTGACCTTGACTCGTCTCTAGGGGAGGACCTGAAATCCAGAGACTGGGATTGCGATCCCTTGGCTCATCGGCCGGACTTTGGTGACCCGCTAATAAGCCCCTTATTGGACTGTGGGTCATGGGAAACATTGGGTCGATCTGATAAAGCAAGTGTGGTTTGTAGTTCACAGTTGAAGGTGGAGTGCCCCATGATTGTTGATTCCTAAATCATATGGATCATTTTCCCATCAAATTAATTTCATTGTGTTCGTTTTATGATGGAAATTATTTTTAGATTATTATTTGAATTTTTATGAACCCCTGGATATTTTATTTATAATTTTTGGATTAATAAAATTAAAGATATTGATTTTACAATTGTTTAAATATTCAAATTATATTCTAAAATCTTTTTATTAATTATACA